CGTTGTTGCTCATCACTCTACCCAGTCCTCCGCCACCCTAGGTCGTGTTGTGCTGCTGTTTCTGTTCCCCGACCTAGCCTCCTTCTCCACTGTAGCGGATCTGGTAGTGCACCTACAGTCCCTAGAGGCTCACTGGCGTGCAGTCAGGCAAGAGGAGCACCGCACCACCCACTTCCCACCCACCTTCATCACCCTCGACCTCTTTGTCAAATGCCTCCCTGACCGTCTCGCCCCTGCTCGAGACGTGCTCCTCACTGCGTCCCCCACCTCCCTCACTACCGTTGAGTTTTCCGCTGCCGTGACGACGGTTGATCCGTGCCCTGCCATTACTGATACTACTAGCACGGTGGAGGTCCCTGTCTTTCAGGGCTTCTCTACCCCTAGCTCCCTATCTCTGGTGCCTTTGCCTCTGTTGTTGCCTCCTCGACGGCGGTGGCCTCTACGCTCAGTCGCTCCTCGGGCCAGTGGGGCAAGGGCAAGGGGGGAAAGGGTCGTGGGGCATCGGCAGCGGTGGGTGGAGGGGGTCTAGGGACAGTGGAGAGGGTGGTCAGTCGGAGTCAGGGACTGCACAGCATCAGCAGCATCAGCAGCATCAGCAGCAGCAGTACCAACAGCAGCAGCAGCTGCCGTGGGGTTTGGCGAGCCTTGGGAGTGGTGGTCGTGCTGGAGGCCATGGAGGTTGAGCCCAAGGGCAGTCGGTGCCCTGGGGGTCGCGTGGCTCTTCTTCGGGCCAGGGTGCTGGCAGTCCTAGAGGCGGTTTCACCTGCCTGTACCACTTGTTGACCAGCCCCTAGGCGGGCCAGGTCTGCGGGCGCATGGGCCACACCGCCACCCGCTGCTTCTGCCGCCTTGATGACATCTATTACCACCTATACAGCCCCCTGGTGCAGGTACCTCCCTGGCCCGCTTTGCTTCGACGTGGTGTTCCGATCTTTGATCTTCCAATAGTTTGATTCATGTAGAGCATGCGATGTATTCTGCGTATGCTGATGACTCTAGTGCTGTTGGTTCCTATTATCCTGCTTTTTTTTTCTAGGATCCACTGCTATGTGTAGTCTAGGATCCCCTGGTATGTCAAACGTAGACTCTCTTAGCGATCTTTCACTAGGCCCCACCACGTCCGCACTCTCCTTTACATTAGACTCTGGCTCATCACATTGCTTCTTTAGAGATCGTACTACTCTCACCCCGCTTCCAGCACCCGTTCGTGTCACACTAGCAGACTCCCTAGCCACAGTTGTCGCACGCACCACCACCGCTCTCCCTTGTCCAGCTGTCCCCTTTGGTTCCCTCACAGGTCTGCACATCCCCTCATTTGCCAGGTACTTAGTTGGTGTCAGCACATCTAGAACCTAGGAATCAACACCACGTTTCCTGTCCACAAGAGACACGCAGCCTGTACAGACACAGCCACTGGTAGACATCTAGCCACTTTTGAGCGTAACCCAATGTTCGATCTCTTCTTACTACACACTGAGTCACCACCAACTACTGCGTCACATTGTGCTCCTGTCGCTCCCTCCCTCACCCGACCCTTCTGTGGCACCACCGCTTAGGTCACCCTATACTCCCACGTCTTAGCATATATCCCAGCACGGTCTATTCACTTGTCTTCTTGCATCACTCCCAACCCTGCCTATGTCGGTAGATCCCCTAAGCACCTCCTGCGTCGATGGCCAGCAGCGCGCCACCCCTCACTCCTCCTCGTTTTCTCCTACTACAGCTCTGCTACAGACACTGCACATGGACGTCTGGGGCCCTGCCCCGGTCTATGGACTTACAGCGACGGAACAATTTGTCCACAAAATGGCACTGTTTAGCTTATCGTGATGTTTTGACAAGTAAAAATGAATTATTTACTATCTGGAGGACGTGGACATTATGCATAAACAACTGATGCACCTCCAGATATTACAAACTCTAGCCAATATCGAATTGCCAATAGCGAGTACAAGCTTTATGGCTCGATGGTCAATGTGGACAATTACTACCCGAGTAGAGACTAGATATGTTTCCATCGAGCATTCTTTGCACAAGCTAGCAAAGTCGCTCAGACTTTTGCTAGTGCATGCCCCTTACCTCGTGATCCTCCAGTAACCACGCGACCGCTTACTTCGCGTCAGAGATACCAGATCATGAGCCTCTGTCGCCAGGGTCTGAGTTTTCGACAGATCGCACGTACGCTAGGAATAGGGCAGAGAATTGAAGAAAAAAACACTTTGAAGGCTAGTCACAGCAGTAGTCGTCTAGCGGCTAGACCAAATGTCCACTCTTCAGGTCGACCGCGACTGCTCTCAGCGTGACACATGCGCACTTTCGTGCAAACCGTCATGTTAGGTGCCGCGTTGATAAGCATTGAGGTTGCATAACCACTAGAATCGAATCACGTTGTTAAGGTCCACCCTCATACTGTACAAAATGCCCTCAAGGTGACTAGGTTAGTCGCTGTACAGATATTGCGCAAGCCTCAATTATCAGCGCGCAACATCCGCGGCTATACAGAATTTCGCCAGAGCCGACCTAGACAGGACTCTAGACGACTGGAAGCGGGTGATCAGGTCGAACGAGACTTAGATCACTCGATATAGCTCGGATAGCCACACCTTTGCATGGATTCACGAAGGCGCTGCTCTCCAGGGGCATCAGGTGAAGTAGACTGTGAAGCATGGAGGCGGGCCAGTCATGGTTTGAGTCTATATAATGTCTGATGTGACTGGTTATATGTGCAAGATTGATGGCCACACAGATGGCCAACTCTATCACAACATATTGCAGGACGAGGTTGCTCAAACGCTTGATTTAAATGATTTGACCATCTCTGGCATGACGTTCCAATACACTGTACGACCCCAAACCCAAGTGCAGGATCATTCAGGAGTGGCTAGCTGAGCAAGCTTTTGCGGTCCTACAATGACCCTATTCCTCCCCCGACCCCAATCCCATCGAGCAGCTCGCCAAGCATGAGCAACCCCCCACATGCATGCAGCAAACTTGAGAGCAGGTGCACGAGGCATGGGACAGCATTGGGGCTGGTGTGTGCAAGGCTCTGATAGACAGTATGCATAGGAGGATTACAGCAGGGAGAAGGGCTAAGGGGAGATGGACCCGGTATCGATATTGATAATATCAGATGTCGCTCATTCTGGGAACATTCTGTCCGAGTGTACCGCTTGTGATCTTCGTTGTGCAATGTTCTGTTCTGTTGTGTTTTTTGGATAAAATATCATTTGTCACACAAGCCCACAACACTGGCAACTAGAACCTTAAAACCAGGAAATATTAAAGCTGATCATTTTCTCAAGGGCTCTGATTTTGTCCAGTTAATGGCCAACATGTGGACAGATTGTTCCGTCACTGTAGCTGGGAGCACTACCTCCTAGTTGTCGTTTGACGACTTCTCGTGCTTCACCATAGTGTTCTTGTTGGAGTAGAACGCCGACGTGCCTACCGTTCTCCTCTCATGGCTGCTCGCCGTTCGCACCCAGCACCGTCAGTCTGTGGTTCATTTATACTCTGACTAAGGTGGCGAGTTCACTACCGTCTAAGACAGTTCTGTCGTGCGGCGGGCATCTGCCATACGTACACACTGTCGGACTTCCGACGCATCGGCCTGGTCGTGAAGGTAGCTCGCACCTCCTTGGTCCATGCCGGTGCACCCCATTTTATGTGGCCACACTCCCTTCGAACGCAGGTTTCGCCGACCCTTCTCTGGACCTGGTCTCCTGGTGAAACTTCTGCGTTCTACGTCGGGGGCAGCCTTGCTCAGTGGCGCGGACAAGCTCTTAGTCCGCACCCTTCCTTGTGTCTTCCTTGGGTTTCCGCTTGACGCCCCTGACTGGCTGTTCTACCACCCGGTACACCACCGCCTTTACCGCTTTCGTAACGTTACCTTCGACGAGACGTTTCTTTAATACCGGTGCTTCCCTCACCGTAGCTCTCTTGTCCCTCCTCCTACACTCTTCTTCGCCCCTGCCCCAACTACCACACCCGTCGCACCCCGTTCAACCTTGTCTCGTGTCTCTTACGCCACTCTGTTCCCCTCGGTCGGGCCCGTTGGGGAGTCTGCTTACTTTGAGGGCCCGGCTGCTGGGGATGCGCCTGCTGTCCCTGCGGCACCTCAGTTACCTCCCCGTCGCTTCAGCAGCAGCCGCAGCCATCGCGGCAGACTCACTAGCTGCAGCAGCAACAGCAGCAGCTGGGGGCCATGGGCTCAAGGGGTGCTGGTTGTGGGGGTGCTGATTGTGGGGTTACTGGTTCTAGGGGTGCTGGTTCTTTGGATGCTGGGCCTAGGGGTGCTGACTCTGGGGGTGCTGGTTTTGTAGGTAGTGCCTCTGAGGGTGCTAGTCCTGGGGGTGCGGTGTTGGAGAGTCCTGGTGGTAGCCGAGGCTGAGCTAGAGGTCCTGGAGACGACAGGGAGTAGCAGCAGCATCCGACGTAGCAGTAGTAGCCACCGCAGTCTGCCCTTCGTCTCCTTGGTCTTTCATCTGGTTCAGAAAACCGACTGCCCATCCCTCCTCCTATGCATGACCCTGTCTACGACACACTCTTCCCTCCGGACTCCTCTTCGGCTGGTTTCCCCTCGCGCTCCCCACTGTCCCTGGTCCTGTCCCCCTTGTTAGGATTAAGGACGGAGTCTAGGTGAACTTAGGAGTTAGAATTACTCAAAATATAAATCCGAAATTCTGGACAGAAAAGTCGTCTTCACAAGAAACGATGTCGACGAAAAACTAGCCGTTGGAATGTCGCGAAACTCGGATATGTTGTAGCTCTTAATCTCAGCTACCGTTCTCAATTTGAATCATGTTGATTGATGAAGTATTCGCGACGCTATGGCTTTCGACGCACTAGGGGGTAAGCTGTAGGAGGAGAACTTAACTCAATCTCAAGAGTTCAATCAAAGTTCAAGAATCTCACAAGGAATTAGAGGAGCAAGAGAAAGGTTGGGATAGAAAGAGAGGGACGAGAGGGAAGGTCCCAAGAGAGTCCCCAACCAAGGAAACCCTATAAGCACAAAGATTCCCTCCCTATAGGAACCCCAATTTTGACATTTGTCCCTTCCCAACCAATCCATCCAAGTTGGCCACCCTTGCCAACCTAGCTTGGTTGTTCCCAACCAATTTGCAGCTGTTACAGTAGAGTGACAAATTTCCCCAACCCCCAAAGGTCCCAACTCCATATAAAGTCACCCCACAACTTCACTTTGTAACCGCCGCAATTGTAACGCAAGCTCATGAACTTTGAATCTTCATAGCTTTTGCGTTCTTGCTCCGATTGAAGCGATTCTTGTTGCGTCGGAAAGATCTTCTCAAGATCTATCATCACAAATACCTTCTCAGACAGAATAACACAAAACACATTCCCAAACTCCAGAACACACCACACACAAATTCTTTCACACACAGTCAAACCATACATACGAATTGAAACAAGAGATGGGAGGCAGACAGAATGTGATAGCATATGATGACATCACACAACAATCTCCCCCTCTGGCTGCCAACCATCATCCACCATACCAACATCTCAAGCATCCATACTCAATGCACACTCATCCCAGCAAGCTTCATGCCCTTCCAATGATCCGCCTCCGCCAGACGCTTAGTGAAAATATCTGCTGCCTGCTGATGGGTCTTCACTATCTCCAGCCGCACCTCCTTATCAAGGAGTCTCCTCACCCAATGCCACTTAGGCCTTATGTGTTTTGTCAGCCCATGCAGACAAGCATTCTTGGCGAGCTTCACAGCGGACTCATTGTCACAAAACACAACTGTCGGCTCCTCCTGACCAACTCCCAACTCCTCCAACAAACGCCTTAGCCACACTACTTCCTTGGCCCCATGGTGTAAGGCCATGTACTCAGTCTCACATGAGGACAATCCCACCTCATTCTGTTTCTTGCTGCGCCAGCTCACAGCACCACCTCCTAGCAAGCACACATAACCCCCAATGCTGGTGCCATCCACTTTCACTGAGTTGAAGCTAGCGTCAGTATAGCAACTCAAGAGCATCTCTCCACTCTTCACATCTGCAGCACCTCTCTATATTGTGTTTACATCCCTAATAGGGTGTACACCTGTGTTGGGGTGTCAATCCAACCCAATTGTGGTTGGAGCCCCCAAACACAAGGACCACAATTGTGGGGGCACCACAAGTGGGTTGGCTAAACCACTGGTGGTACACCACACTTGGACCACCTCCAACTGGTGGTCAACCACATTTGCAAGGATCCTCCTTCCCTTGTGATTGGTCCTAACCCCCCCTTCCCTTCCAACCTTCCCTTCCTAGCTCATCTCTCTCTTCCTATGTAATGCCTTTGCTTCATCAATAAACTGAACCTTTCTGTTTCTAACAGGTACCTTTATATCTAATAGAAGTACGTGTTCTCTAATATACCGGTTGACACTATCGCGCTATGCGCCCTAAATAACACTGAAGAGACGCGACTGTTCGCGTGGGTAAAACGACTATCCTCATGACGAGCACTATCTGCTGACGTCATCCTACGGACTTATCTTCTACATAGAATTCGACACTATCTATCGATAATCGACTTACGGAAATGCTAGTTATGAATCATGCTACAACACTCCCCTTCATTTCTGGAAGTCTGATAGTGTCACGTCTTGAAGATCCCGCAAATATTGTTACAGTACTGAAACATCTGTCGTGTCAGCTTCTTCGTGAGGAAATTGTTGGTGCAACCCGTGTTGGTGCATATTCATTTGCACGTCATCCTGTCGTCTGTTCACATCATTTCGTTTGCATGTGTTTTGTGTGCTACGTTGTTTGTATGGTTTGTTGGGTTTGCATGTCTTTGCATGTTCATCTTGTGCTTGTGCAGATGTGCTTGGATTGTGCATGACATCGAGCACATTCCAACGAGCCGAGAATTGTTGGAATCGGAGCACATATGAAGAAGTTACGAAGAAATGTTTGATGGATTTGTTACAACTCATTGGAAGTCCTTGTCAGCTGCTACACCAAAGTTGGAGAGCCCTATAATGAGGAGGGACCAGCATGTGTGGGACTTTTGTCCCCACCTTGCAGCTGCAGCATTTGGGGTTTGGAGGCCAACCTGGCACAGTGTGAATTTTGTCTTGCCAGGCTGGCTGAACCTGAGGATGGGGAGTCAAAACTTTGACTCTTGTCATGTTCTTGACCATGGGCCTCCAGGGTCCTTCCCTTTCATCCTTCCCTTCCTACCCCACCTTCCAACTGTGCTTCAATGCCTTTTCTATCATGCCTCTGATCTTGTAAGCTTAAAATCAGAGTGACTCTGAGGACTGTCAACTTCTCCTAGGGCAGATTACCCCCCAGTGCGCCAAACGCCATAGCTCGCTCGTTAAGCTACGGAATCGAGTGATTCAACTTTCAGTGGAAAGCTGACGCTGCCAGCTACAACATATTCGAATTTCAGATCGTTTCACCGATTGGAGTTTTGGATATAGCTATTCGAAAGTCGCGAGTTTTCTGGGCGTCATAACGAAGTGCTGCAGAAATTTCCAAGGAGCCATTGAATCATCTGCTTATAGCCTTCTCTAACCAACAACCCGATGGCTTGAACTCGGCTTGTCGTCCTTGTTTGTGTGTGTGCATGCATGGCATGGAATGAATTATGAGTCTATGTCATTGCTATCCAGTGCTTGTGTGTCTGTTTGAATGTTGTATCACAATGTGGTTTGTGTCGTTCAAGACATTAGCGAGTTTTTACAACTCGCATGTCAAGTCGTCGTTTGTGTGTCGCATGTGTTTTTTCTGTTTTGTCGAGTGTGAAGTGTCCATCGTGTCGCAGGTGTGTGCAGCAAGCCCCCATCAACTCAAGAAGAATTTTTCTTGCAGATCCAAGACCAAGAGCTCAAGATTTCAAGCCCAAGGGACGCGGATAAAGATTAAATAGTGAAAATAGTAATGCTACTTCGTGTAGTGTTACATTTCACTTGGTGTAGCCCCTTGGAGGGTTGGTTTCGAGACTCTTCATGGTTAGGGACTCAATGGTGGTGTACCACCAACCTGGACCTCGGCTCTTGGGGTATGTAGAGGCTGGGAACCATCTCCCTCTCGAATTCTTCTTCCTAAGTTTTTGTACTCCTAAGACTATAGTGGCTACTGTACCTCCTGCCAGTCAAACCGCAATAGAGACGTCAAACCTTCATGGAATTTCATGATTCAACTTGCTGCTGATAGGCGACAACAACGCGCTCCAGATCCAATTTACAAATCACCGTTTGAGGCACACATCAGGTCAGCATCAATATTTGAAGCTGTCTGACGGAATTCTGACTGTGCACAATTTCACTCATTTTAGGCACATCTGAGCCTATTGTGACTATAACAAGTGGTATCAGAGCCCCTTGGAGCCGTTGCGACCATGTCTAGACCTGAGGAAGGGGGTGGCAGAGGTGCTGGAGGCAGAGAAGTCGCCCAAGCACAAGGTCAACACCAAGATCTACCCGTTGCTCCGGTGGAACCTAGCCTTGGACCCTCTAGGGATGAGCCTAGAGTGTTTGGCCTTGACAAGTTCAACGGTGACAACTTTGCTGAGTGGTCCTTCAAGATGGAGAACATCTTCGACCACTATAATCTGCTGGAGGTGATGGAAGGAACGGAGAAGCGCCCCGAGAACGACCCGGAGAAGAGCCCGTGGGTGCGGAAGAGCGCACAAGGCTACCAAATCCGTCACATCAAGCCTTTTCAGCGTGAACCAGCAAAGGGACCAAAGGCATGGGCTGCTCTCAAGGGTGTACACGCTCCTGCAACAGCGGCGGTGGCTGTGGTTTTGGAGCGGCAAATGGCGGCACTTCGAATTGACGAAGGCGAACCGGTGGAGGAAGGAGTGCAGAAATTCTTCGACTTGTTGACACGGCTCGAAAGAGCTGATGTGAACTACAGTGACCTTCAAAAAGAAGACCAAGCTGCTGGCCTTACTTCCGGACTCATGGTCCTCGCTCATCATCAACCTAAATCGAGATCTGCCCCGTCTCTCACTCGAAGATGTGAAGCGGGAAATCTTACAAGAAGATTTCCGCCGTCGCGAATTGGCGGGTCCCGATGGTGCCGGAGTTGCAAGCATGGGCCATGGGCACGGTCGTGGAAGGGGCAGAGGGCGAGGAGGAAGATTTGGCAGCAGTAACTTCAGTGGAGGCCGTGGTAATGGAGGATATGGCAGCAACAACAACAACAATGGCTACGGGCGTGGGCGCGGTCGATTTGATGGCGAATGCCACTTTTGTCACAAGACCGGCCACATGTGGAGAGATTGCTTCAGATTGCCTGATGGATGGACCCCTTCTAAAGGCCAAGAGGGCAGAGGAGCAAGGGGAGGAAGAGGCAGAGGTCGTGGAGGCCGTGGTGGTCGTGGAAGCGAAGCGGCAAGTATGAAAGGTGGAGACTACGACAAGGACTCGAGTGAAGATCGATACCCGGGCCAATTCTTCTTTGTCTCCACGCAAGCGACAGCTGCAGCAGGAGGTGTGGAAAGCTTTGAGGAGCCAGCTACTGTGGGAAAGGTCACCCTTCACTCTCTGGACTTTTGGGTGATTGATAGCAGCGCCACCTATAGCATGACACCTCGTGCGGACTTGCTTACCGAACTCGAACCGTCGCCGGTCAAGCTTGTTACATCGGCTTTGGGGCAGCGAGCAGAGGTGAAAGGCATGGGCAAGGCCATGTTCAAGGGTGCTGATGGGAAGATGGTGGGCCTCAAGAACGTGCTTTTGGTGCCCAACCTAGCAGCCAACCTGATTTCCGTTCAGCGTTTGCAAAAGGCCGGCATGGACACATCTTCCAAGGGTTCCAAAACCTATACCGTGAGGCTTGGTGAGCGGAAGCTTTGGGACCTTCATGAGGACAGGGACATCTACAATGAGATGTGGCAAATCCCAGTGGTCCCCATGCCTAACGGGAGGCAAGTGGCAGCAAGCGTCAGCACCAAGAGTGAAGCGGTTGGTGGCGGTGATCACGGAAATCAAAGTGACACCAAGAGTGACTTGAAGGAGTGCAACCTTGGAGAGACCAGCAAGGCGTGTGAACCCAAGGAGAGTGGTGCAGCAGCCAAAGGTGGTGGAAATGAGGAGGAAAAGCCTAAGATCAGCAAAGCAGCAGCGACAAAGGAGAAAGGAGAGAGCTTGTGGGGCACAATTGCGAGTGTCGCTTTCTCCAACCCGACTTCCGCTACGGGAGAGTGTGATTGGCTGACCTTACATCGGCGAATGGGGCACGTGGCATTGCCCATTGGGGCAGATAGTTAAGCAAGAGATGGTCAGTGGGATACGTCTCAAGGGAGAGCCCAATGAGATGCTTGGCTGTCCAACATGCATGCAAGCCAAGTTCACCCGCTACCCGTTCCATAGCTCGGAGACAACGGCGAAGGCACCACTTGATGAGGTGGTGATGGATGTGCTGGAGCAGAGTACTTCCTCACCATTGTCGACATCTACACTCGCATGACCTGGGTGTATGTGCTGCCCAAGAAGAGTGACGTAGCTGAAACGGTGAAGACCGATTGGTTGCCGATGGTGGA